TATATATATATATAATTATTTCGTGCCAAAACAGGCCGAACACGAACAAACAAAGATGTTTGACTTGTTTATATATCGAGCACAAAAATATTGTTGGTGTTCAGCTCGTTAACTTAGTGAACAAATCAAACACGAGCTTCTTAACAAGTCAAACATGAACTGTTCGCGAACAAAGAGTCATTTTGACAGGTCTTGGGGTTGGTCGCCCCGGAGGAGAGTCATAAGGTTGCTCGTTTCGGAGTGGAGTCTGAGGCTTGCTCGCCTCAGAGAGGATTTTTAAAGTTGCTCGCCCCAGAGGGGAGTCTTAGGGTTGCTCACCCCTGAGAGGGGTCTTAGAGTCGCTCATCCAAGAGGAGAGTCTTAGAATGACTTGCCCTGAAGGGGAGTCTTAGGATTGCTCGCCGGAAGGGAGTCTTAGAGTGCTCACTCAAGAGAGGATTCTTACAATGGCTCGTCTAGGGTTATTGGCCCCAGAGAGGAGTCGGGTTCTAACATTTCACTTGCATGGGTCCTAAACTGTCTGATTGAAGCTCCATCTTATGTTGGGTCCCCTCTCTATGGGAGGAGGCCGTTTAGACTCTTCTCTGGGGTGATTGTCGTCGTACCCTTCGCGAAACTTATCGCTGCTAGGAAGGGAACCATCTTCGAACATGTGTCTGATCCGAACTATGGCACTCGAGCTCGTCGCAAATAAATTCATGCGACTAGCCCATGGGGGTTCTTTATCTATCAGAAGTTCACGACGTCATTGTCGGTTTTTACCTAGATTTGAGGTCCACAAGTGTAAAGTAGTCACCGACATGCTAGTGCTCCTTGACCTCACCAAGTCACGTCTTGAACTCTAGATAAAAAATATAATAATAATAAAAAAAACATGATCACCTGTATGGGATCGAAGTAATAAATATGTAAATTTACATGAATGTGGGTTTTACTAGCCTTCATTAAGGTATCATAAGGATTGAAAGACAATGTTATGCATGCTAGAATGGAGAATCTGTCAAACAATTTAGTTAATTTGTTTTTGTATTGGGATCTCAGAGAAATATTTGTAGCAACGATTGTATGTATAATGATAATAATAAGTAAACTCTCCAAAATAAGTAACTTCATTCTATACTCCAAGGCTATTGATGCACTTTATGTAGGGAAATAAATAAATTGTTGGCACCACATTTTATTGTCATGAGTGCAGTATGTCCACCTACATGATTCGAGATAGTTTACGGTTCGTTCGTACCATCCCGTAATTTAAGACACTAATACAAAACTCTCTAGCACTTGTTTAGGGCGCGAAACTAGGGTTGGCAGTGATTTATCATTACCCAGGAGAACCCGTCATCGGAGGAGCTCATTTAGGATATATGACATATTCGGTGCCCATTCTAGTGTTTAGAAGTCACCGCACATCCTTCTAGAGCTTCCCTTAGCAAGAGAAGTCATGGAGTCCTCCTATGCGCATTGCAGGAAAGCTAGGGTTCGAGACGCCCTACTTGATTTTCCTGGTAGTAGCGATTTTCCCGGTGAATTACCGATCAATAATTTGCCCGCCATTTAAAAGAGACTAGTATTACATTTGATTTACTTCACGGTGACTCGGCTAATTCAAAACAAGCTCATCTACCAATTCAATGATATGATTCATTTATTAATAATAATATATCTTATTGATGCTAAATAATTATAACATAATAGTGCAATAAAATGAGAGGGCAATTGCATCCTGGCTAAGAGTAGTTTTGCCATTAAAAGTGAATTATTGTACACTTTCTTTCTGCAAAGGATCCTTTAATATAATTTTGCATACATTTTATCCACTTTTACCTGTTTATATTTTTCGTCAACATTACTTTGAATGAACCAATTTGAAATAATGATTGAATTTATTATGAAGTATACTCTTTTCCTATACATTATTAGCAAACCTCTTAGATAGGGGTAGGTTTTGTTTTATTTATTTAATGAAAAAAAAAAAGATGCAAGAATTATTACGCAGCTTCATATACTTAAAATTGGTATCACATACACAATTATTGCGCTCCGTTCACTTGATGTTTTATTTATCTTAATATCATGTTATGCATCTTATAAATATGAGACTTTATTATTAAATGTCTTTTGAATTGATCAGCCTAAACATACAACAAAGGATATGAGTGCCAAGTAAGGTATAACACTAGCTCATTAAATCAGACTGAATACGGACTTGCCCACCGAGTTTAATGACAACAACTAGTCAGTTGAGCTCAAGGTGCAAACTCAGCTAGTTAGGCTTAAGATCTTTATTTGTCAGCAACACGGTACTCACTCACTTATCTGAAGAAAGCCTTCTTTAATCTTCTTCCAAACCTATTTTCATTTGCCGATGAGGCCAAATGGGTCTTTTATGACTATACGTACTCTTCAATCTCTAAATGGTTCTAACGGCTTCTACGACAAGTCGGTAGCCCAACTTGACTTTGTATCAAGGCAACAAGCCACCTATACATTTTCTTTTTAAAATTTTCTTATGCATCTAGCGCTTAGTACGGTAGATTCTTGGGAGAGCCATGGGCTTGGTCTTTGCTAATTTATTACCTCTTATTTTGAAATTGTGACATCTTCTCACTATTCAATTTTTTTTTTTCTTTTCTAATTTTTAATTGAATAAGTAAAATTTGGGCTTAACCCATGGACCGGTATTTTATTGTTTTAAAGCAATAATAAAAGATACAATATAGGTTTTGTTTCTTCATATATCTCAAATATTTAAGTTCAAACTTAATTATCATCACATAAAAAAATTTATTGCATGGTTATTTTACTTGGTGTTTTACCTATTTTAATAACATGTTGTGCATCTCATCGTAGATGATATCAAAATTATTATTCCATCAAATAACATTTTCTACTAGATTTTTTGAGTGATTTATTTTTTGCGGGGGCACCGAATCTGACTATTGATGATCCCTCAAATCTCATTTTATCTCTGTAATTCAAATAATTTAAGAATTTCGCTAGTATTGAAAGCTCTTAATAGAAATAATTATGTGTTGTGACGACGCACCATGATCATTACCTTGTCAATGAGTAGATGTTGGGAGAAGAGTGGGTCATAGTTGAATTGTTATGATGGCAATAGGCCATCGTGAATGTTATAGATGAGGTTGTAGCGCCAACATATCTTAGATGTTGTAGTTGAAAGTTGTGGTAGTAGTTAACCATGCAAGTTGTAAATGGTTGTTTTAGGAGCGTTAGTTGGCCACATAGATCGTAATAGAGAGTTGTAGGAGCTATGATCCACATAAATCACAATTGGTCGCATAGGTCATAATAATGAGCTGTAATAACGTTCATAGGGCGCATTAGAGGCCAGAGTTGGGAACCACATGAGCTGAGATAACATTCGTAAGCCACAAAGGCCGGAGTTGAGAGGTGCATGAGTTGTGATAATGTACTTATGTCATAGAGGCCGGAGGTGGTAATTACATACACTAAAATAGTGTATCTAGGTCGCATATGTTGAATTTGGGAGATGCATGAGCTAAAATTATGTCCATAGGCCATAGAGACCGAGTTGGGAGCAACATGAGCTGATGCAACATCCTTAGGCCACAGATGCTAGTGTTATGAACTAAGATAACATTCGTTGGCCTCAAAGCCCGAAGTTGGGTGTTGCATGAGCTGATATAACATTTATAGGCTGCAAAAGTCCGAAGTTGGGAGCTACACAAGCTGTGATAATGTTCATATGTCGTAGATGCCAGAGTTGGAAACTTGATGAGCAAGTATTATGCTCTGAGGCCACAGATGTAAGAGTTATGAGTTACATGAGCGGAGATGACTTCTGTTGGTCGCAGAGGCTGAGTTGAGATCTGCTGAACTGAGATAACATTCGAGAGTCACAAAAGTAAAATTGGGAGTTGTATGAGCCGAGATAATGTTCGTAGGCCTTAGAGGCCAAAGTTGGGAGCTACATGAGTCGAAATAACATCCGTAGCTCACAAAGGTCAGAGTAGGGAGCTGCACAAGTCGAGATAACATCCGTAGACCATAAAGTTCAGAGTTGGAAGCTGCACAAGTCAAGATAATATATGTAGGCCACAAAAGTTGAAGTTGGGAGCTTCATGAGGTGTAATAACGTCTGTATGCTACAAAAGCTAGACTTGAGAGTTGCACGAGTTGTGAGTCGTAGTTGGTCATGTAGGCCATGTGCTGAGTATCTTGAGGAGACATCGCTGCACCCTATGCGAGGTGCATCATTTCACTATATGCTCTACGCCATTGCACCTCTTCAAAGTGCATCATTATATTGCTTCGTAGGCTGCTTTGTTATTCCACAATGTATATCGAGATTACGTAGGGCACATCATGATTTCACAAGGGATTTCATTGCAATGAGCATCAAGGACGATCAATATTGGTCGATGACAGTCGACGAATAGTGGTTAATGGTGCACAATAGTTGTATGAGTGGGAAGTGTTCATCTGGTTTTCGATATGGAATAATACTAAAATTAAGTTCCTTCTCCTCTAAGCTTTAGGCTTCCTTCATTTCAAGGCTTAGATCCCTCTCTATGAAGGAGGTAGGGCCTATTTATAGAGTTTAGGAGAGCCCTCATGATAATATGGAAAGAATTCAGACCACACCATCAGATGACTCAAAGAAAACCTTTTAATTGAATGACATTCTGTGAACATTTTAGTGCCTTAATGGTGTCAAAATTGAGCGATCTTAGACTTATTTTAGATTTATCTCATAGAAACACCCGATTTGATCACAACCTTTTGAGATTTTATTGCATATATATCTATCTATCTATATATATATATGTATATATATATATATATATACATATGTATATTATATATATATAAATAAAGAGAGAGAGAGAGCGAGTTGATTGCACAAAATTTAAGTCGGGTTCAGTCAAACCCGATTTGTTGTTGTTCGCCCTGGTAGTCCCGAGCCCATTAATCAATCTTCAGTTCCTTCCGGAAGATCGAATCTGACGGCATTGAGAGAAACGAATTCTCCATCAACCCATTGTAGGAATTGATGAGAACAGGCCTAAAGCCCTCTGCCGTCATCTCCGGTCTCAACCCTAGTAAACCTCTCCAATCCCCTTTCACACGGGCATGGCTTGGCGTGGCTCCATCTCTAGGTCGATCATCTCCGTTGCGCGTTCGTCTCCGTCTTCCTTCCGATCACCGGCTGCTCTACCACGTCTCCGCACTCCTCGCATTCAACGCACTCGCCTCTTCTCTGCCTCGAGGTGGAAACCCTATTCCTCATTCTTTTTCTCGGTTAGAAATTATTTCCTTAATCAACGCTTACTCTGTAATAGGGTGCCGTCTGAGCTAGGAAGCGCATCATCACTTCTTCCCCTGCATAGCGTGATCGCCATTCCGCGACTCACCTCTCACCTCTCGGTCAGCGCGAGGGCGTGCTGTGAGCTGTCTCAGGGTACCTTTCGCCGCACTTGTCAAGATCGCTAGGTCTCTTCTTTTGAGTCTTCGAATGACAACTGATTTAGGATCTGCATTGAATAGAAAATAATAAATTTTTATTGAACGGATGAAATATGATTGGATTGTAGCATGTATGATAATTTATCCCATTTTTTTTGTGATTTTGCTGCTTAAGTTTTGGTTGATAAGGGGAAATTGGGATTTAGGTAGGAATGGAAAGGATGGTTGACGCGAGAGAGAGAAGCGAGGCTGGTGGAAAGCCGGAGGGTGACGCGGCTTTCTTATTGATGTAGGTTTTATTCTTTTCCCGATCTTCTATTATCATTTTCATATTGAACACTTTGGACAGATGAAATGCAGTTAGGCATGTTCGTATTATATAAAATATAAATAATAATGCATCTCAATATCACAAATTCATTACATTTTCAACATACAAATTATGTGGTATCCAAAATTTAAGAGCACATCCTAGTTTTTATGACATTGTATTAAGATGGTGTTAGGAATGTGTCAAGTTGGGGCATTATCTAAAACAAAAATGTTTATTGCTGCATAATGTTTAAATGGCGTAGTATTTGTTTGCAATGTATTTTACTTTAGTCAATCTGATTGAAGGCTTTAAATTTCAGTTGTTTGTTAGGATACCATTGTTGTTCTATTCACATATCCTTTTACCCTTCTACATTATTTGAAAATCATACATAATTAAGGATCAAATTTTCCCTTTTGATTATCATTCTGTTTTAGTAATTCAATTAGCATCCGTTTCGGGTTTCCAGGATTGATCACTGAAGTGAGTTATTTACTTGAATTTATTAAGTATTGATATTTTTCTAGTAATTTATTTTATGTAAAATTGAAAAGTTTTTCTTTTGATACATGTAATTCATGCCTAAAACTTACCTGTTAATTACATATTTCCATAAAATCGTGTTTTCTACTAGTGTCCAACCTTTGCTGTATGCTTTGCCCTTCAACACGTATGCATTAAAGGCCTAACTGGTTGTCTGTAAGTGAAAGGAAGTGACACTTCCCTCTTTTGAAAGTAAAATTTGATGAAGTCACTTATAAAAATACTATTTCAATGCTCAACATAGAATTTATTAAGTATTGATATTTTTCTAGTAATTTATTTTATGTAAAATTGAAAAGTTTTTCTTTTGATACATGTAATTCATGCCTAAAACTTACCTGTTAATTACATATTTCCATAAAATCGTGTTTTCTACTAGTGTCCAACCTTTGCTGTATGCTTTGCCCTTCAACACGTATGCATTAAAGGCCTAACTGGTTGTCTGTAAGTGAAAGGAAGTGACACTTCCCTCTTTTGAAAGTAAAATTTGATGAAGTCACTTATAAAAATACTATTTCAATGCTCAACATAGAATTTATTAAGTATTGATATTTTTCATATATAGCGTTACGTCTATGTTGAGCATTTATATATAATGAAAAACCTAAGGGCTGATTTTATTGAAATAAAAAAGGTACATAAATGTTGTATGAGAGAGCCCCATGGAGGCACCCTACCCATACGATACCAAGTACAATACTACCTCAACAAAAAGATACAGATAGACTCAAAATATTTAAAACATGCAGAAAACAAGTAGCTAGGGATGAGCCAGTTTAGTTTTGCATCTTCCTCTAGTTTTAGGAGCAGAGTCAGATAACCAGATAACAAACTTTGAAGAGTGTCGTGCCATTGTCAGGAGTAACCAAAGTATCATTCATTAAGTTTCCAAGTTGGAGTGTGCCCCCAGACTTCTTCTTTTGCTGAGAAGTGTAAACCTGTAATTCTTCATTTGAAGATTGACTCATGTGATCCTCGGTCTGATTAGATATTAGAACTACAGTAGTAGAACCACAGTAGAAGGAAAGACAGTCTTTGCCACAGTGATAGCTTCCAGTGTATGTGAAGTGTGAATTGTCACATCTGCACCTGATGCTTTTTTAATATGAGCTGCGGGGTTATCCTGACTTTCAGTCCGAACATTATCAATTATAGTATGATCAGAAGAAGGGTTCCCAGGGGCAGACACAATTTCCTGTCTTGTGATGATTCTCTCCTCAGGTTGACGTCATCAGGTTTGTTGGGAGCGCGTTCAGGCACGTGGAGTGCGCTAATAACATGTTCCTGCTTTTGACTATTGGTTTTCAAATGTGGGTATAATCTGAAACATTTCTCTTGCGGATGTCCAAACATCTTACAGTGTTTGCAGTAGTAAGGTTTTTGTTCCATAATGATTTTTTGCCAATAACCATTGTGAGCAGAGCCAAGTCAGATTTCTTCTACATCTGATAGTGTAATATCTCTTTCAATCAAATTCTTTGCAATAGAGGGTCTTGATAAATGAACTGTAGGTGTGTCTACCTGCAAAGGTTTTTCAAGGATAATCCCAATTGCATATAAGATAGGTAGGTCAAAAAATTGAAGCTTGAGTTCATGTAATGAGAACCAGATAGGCACAATTAGGGGTTCTTGACTAGGATCAAAATCAGGGGTCCATTTGAGCAATTTCATATGATTTCCCTCAATTGTGATGAATTTCTTTGAGAAAATCATTGTGTAATCTTCTTCTATGCTCAACTGTATCATAACATGACTTCTGTCAAAAAGACCCACCTGCCAAGCCCTAACTAACTTGAAATCTTCAAAAATCTTTTTGATAATCTCCATATTAGAGCAACCTAATTGGAACTTTCCATTAGTAAAAAATTGTATTTTCCTGTACGAGTTGAAATTTCAGCTTCAGAGAAGATTAGTGTTGATTTGCTTGCCTTTTTCTTTACTTTTGTTGATGAGATTGCAATCTCTATGTCCTGCAACAAAATCATGGTACATCTGCGGGAACATCGGACTATCTGCAAAGTGGAAAGGAGAGTTGCATTTGTGAACTAATATAGCATCAGAGGGTTTGGTGGATTATCACCGGCGAGGGCGGCGGCGTAGGAAAGTCCTGCCATTAAAGTGCTTCACACAAGCACAACAGGAAACAACTGGTGGGGCTTACCTACTGCCACCGATGAACAAGACCCAGGTTCGAGCGGGCGCGAACGCGTCGTCGTTGAACAGAAACCCAAACCGAAGTTGTCAGGAAACTGCACATACGCGAACGATTGAACTAGCTGGACGTCGGCGTCGAAATCGAAGGTGCGGAAGCGAACGTGTCATCGTCGAAATCGATAGACGCAGACGTACCGTTGGCGCCGAAGAAGGACGCGAGCCGACGAAGCAGAAAGCGAGCGAAGCGGAAAGTCTACGACAGAGACGGGGTTTCCTTCGAGCGACAGTATCAATCACGACGGAAATTGCCAGTCGAAACCCTAGCAGAGCTCTCGTCCGTCATTCTTATGTATGTATATATATATTATTTCTCTGTGTAGGTTGTACATCTGTCCAATAATTCATTTGAAATTTATTTATGTAAGAATATATGCCCGTTTATACATTTGTCAGTTTTACTACAATTTCAAAAAACATATGATCAGCTACTTCGTTGAGAGGACGTCACTTCTCACTTCCCCAACAACCAAATAATTGACCTGCCACTTCTCATTCCTTCATATTTCTCAGTTATTGCATGCTAATAAGTAAGGCTTAAATCATAGCAAAGACATGTAGTAAACAATTCTGGAATTCATCTCCATAAAATTTTTAGTTGCCAGGGAACGTGATTCAATGAGGATCTAATTTGGTTCTGCCATACCAGTGTTCAAAAATGCTTTCAACCTAGAGCTTAAGCTTGTAGGCAAATGTCATCCACTTGGCATTTCTATAATAAAAGATTTTTTACCTTTCCGATGTGGGGCTAAACTCAATTCTCCAATATGCATTAATCTTTTCTATTTTAATAAAGGTACTCCACGTCGAGTATAGCTCCTCTCTTATTCAAAAGTTTTTTTTTTTCACACCATTTAATATTATACACAAAGAGCTATGATTAAATTTATTTTCAATCCAAAAGCTTGAATCTATGCATGAGGGTCAACAATGGGATGCTTTATATACCTTAACATTTATTAGTAGCCACCACTTTGTGTTGTGCAACATCAAGTGTGATGTTGTTGTTCGAGGTGATTGCGATGGAAACAAGGTCATATGTTATCGCATGCATTTTGCATGAATTGATGAAGGATTTTCATATGGTGTGCTTGCTTGCTAAAATGGCGGGCCTTAGCAGTAAGGGACTGTAAAAAAAGCTCATCTTTCACAGACAACTTATGTTTAGCTTGCTAAGAAGTTTATGTTTCGGTTCCTTCGTTAAAAGAGTTGAACATCAATTGTGTGGGTGCATGCATGCATGCACACCTAATAGAAATGCATTTGTAATTATTTGTTAAAAACTCACATGATTCATTTATACTGTTTTCAATGCTTTGGCATAATATATTTATAAAAATAATTAAATAAAATCAATGAAAATTATATGATTTTTTGATTATTATGGTTTTCATTATTCTTATATTACGTTGAAGCAAGATAATATTCAAGCTTGTTCGATTGTATGCCTTGCTTATTCAATTGCTAATAAAAAAAAAATCTGTTTTATCCGAGAGTTGATTGGTTCTCCTAACATATTGATTTGTTTGCAACCTTATCCTTGGAATGTATGACTTGTTGCTTGTTCTAACAAAATAACAAGTCGCAAGAAAGAAAGTTTTGTTTGGGTTCTATATGTTTAACTTAATAAGCTTACATGCTATACCTATAAATAACCATATATAGATACTATACTGTCTATTGCTCTAAACGATATGTTTTTATAATGCTCTTTTCTAGCAACAATGTATTTATATATGTAAACTTTGTTTTAGTTGTTTTCTTTTGCTCATCTCATGCATCTATTCAACTATCATACTATCCATTTTTTGTTTAACCTATTTTGATTCAAGAAACTGGGATTGGGATTTGATAGGGAAGAATGGTAAAGATGGGTGATTGAAGAGAGTGGTCAACTTTCTGTCAGGCGTTTCATGCTGCTATTCAAATGCTGTATGTTTTCTTCATTTTTATTCTTGAGTTTTTCCATGAGGTTCAATTGCAATAGGATATTGAAAATTTGATTTATTTGAAAAAACAAATAAACTGAGAGAGATTAGTGCTTTTTTCCCAAAATGCTTAATGAGCCCAAAGTGCTTTTTTCAGCATGCTGATCTTGCTTCTTGTTTAGAAAGATTAGTGCCCAGCAATTTATAATGGAAATAATTAGAGCTTCTTTATTTGTCACATAAAAATTAAAATCTTTTAAGTTGAAAAAGAATTGCAATATATTTGAAGTGTCTCTTAGGAAATGAATTATATTTTTTTAATCCTGTAGAATGATTGAATGTCTGGCACTTCTTTTGATAATGCATTGCAACTTTTGCTTTGGCTTTTGGTGGTGACGAGTATTTTTCTACCATGCTATCCTAAAATACTGAAATGTGAAAATCAGGTTTTGGGGTTGCTGTTACAACTTTGCGTTGTTTGTCTACTACTCTGATATGGTAGTTCATTTTATATGAGAGACTACTCTTTGCAATATTTTGTACAAATTCTGGGTTTATAATATCTTGTGTGATGGAGAAGGGCGGGCTATTGGCAGATTAACATGTTGGATAACTGCTTTCAATTGCATTTGATAAGCCATAAATTTATCAGAAATTTGGACTGGATAATTGTGGGTAGGGAGAAGAAGGATTGGCCTATTTAGAGAAACGAATGAAGAATGACTCATAGCTTCAAATTTATTGGCTGATATGGTATTTTTCATGAGTCATGATTATTATCCGAGAAGTTACAATGAATTATTTGTCAAATGGAATGTTGGAAGTCTTAGATAAAGTATTTTAGGTTGGTTATGGTTGGAAAATTTTTTTACTTTTTATTTTACTTTATTTTTTGCTTCAGCCCTGAAAGTGCATCCAAGAAAGTGCTTTCTTATAAATTTTCTGTTTTAATAGGCTCACGCTTGCTGTTGCTTCAGCTTTAAATATGGAGTTTCGCTCATATTTTTTCTTGCATTTCATGTTTCCAGTTTCCCAAGCTTATTTATTTTATTGGGAAAAACTCCTCTGCTGTCATTGATGTTTTAGCTAACTTCTCAGCACAAAAAAACAAAGTGCGAGTGCATGATTGTGGAGTCTGGTGGTGGAGGCTCTGGTTGTATTTTATAAGCATGAAACTTCTAGCTCGTTATATAGCCTGGTGCTTTCCCCCTTCTTCATGTTAAAAGTCGAATCTTGATTTAGAAGCTTTTTTTTTTTTGTTAGTTTTTTTTTTAGGTATGGATGTGTTATTGGTTTACAATTTCATTAATTTTTCATGTTCTGGTACAGCAATGGCCATGTATTTTGTCCACTTGGCGAAAGTGGTTAATTTGTTTTTTGCTTTTGTGGAATGTTGAAGATACAATCCTACGTCTAGACTCTAAATTTATCTGTATAAACTTTAGCTTTTAGAGATTAATGTGAATTATTGTAGAAATTTTGTTGGCATATATTTTTAATGAAATTGTAAAGATGAAGAGAGTTTTAGATGGGTGAAGAAATAGTATTTTCACCAATAATGAATTATAAAGGGATTAAACATTGTGGTAAATACGGGGAAATTAAAGTTATTAGTTAGTTTATGAATTTTTTGGAGAATTTTAGAAGACAGTCTCAGAAAACTGAAATTTTAGAGAATTAATTTGATTTTTGGCAAAAGCGGTTTTTATGTTTGGGATTTATATATCAAGTCAGTTGAGGAGAAAGCAAAGGAACTTGTTTAAGTGAAATTTACCTTAAAGTTATTAAATATATATTTTTTTCTTTTAAAGGCACATGATATTGTTTTGATGAACAATAAGGAAAAATTGTGTCAAGATTTTAATTTTCAATGATGGATGATAAATCATAGCATAAATCTCTCTATGGCATATGTTGCAAGACACCTTATTTTAAACATGACACAAGATATTAATTATTAAAACAATTAATGAAATTACAAATAAATATTAAATTAAATGTGACATTTCTAGTACCTAATAATTATGGATGTAACTAAAACCCCAAATGTGTACCGTAGAAATTTTGAATGGCAAAATACAAGTCTGAAATAGTGATTGTGATGACAAAGGCGAGAAAGGATACCTTTTTTGAAGCCTTATCAAGCCCTTCTTTTTTTTTTGTTTTCTGAGGCTTGCGAGTTGAAACCTTGCAAGGGAGCTGCATACCATGTTGAAGCAGATGAAGCTTGCGTTTTACAGTGCTGTGCCTGTGATGCCTTAGAGCCAAGCAGATCATCTAATAGAAATAAAAAATTGAGTAATAAATATTATGATCTTTAGCTTTTAACTTTAAGCTATCTAAATTAAAATAACGTGCATTGTGGGGGTTATATGTCATTTGCTTTTGTCATGCATAGCACAAATAACACATGCTGTTCCGAATCGGTGTCGCGCCATGAAGATGGAGTAGAAGGCGTGCCACGCTATGCTATGTGCCATAGTGTGTTATTATGCCAAAGTGCGTGCTATTGATACGTGTCAATTTTTTTTTTTAAACGATTAATGATGTTTGTTAGAGCATTCAATTAGAATAATTGAGTCTGAAAGTTTTGAATCATTGTAAAATTACATCAAAGTTTTGCAAATAAAGATAGCTATATATGGGCGTACACGTGAATATGATAGGAATGAAATTAGAGAGTAAATGTGGCAAAGTGAGAATGAATAAATGTTTTGACAAAATATATACTTCTATTATAGTGATATTAGTTTCTATTAAACAGTTTGCGTTCACACTCCCTCTCTAACTTATGCATGTATATATTAAGCTTGTTATATAACTGAGAAACGAGGACTCAGAGCTTTGGTGAAGGTATTTGTCACTAGTTTTCAAATAAAAACATGAAGAGTAACATTCTTCTTTATCATGTTAAGGGGAGAGAATTTAATTATCCTTTTCATTTAGTAAAGATGCCCATTCATATGATTAAGTGAGATAAATCCACATGTTCTCAAAATATATGCTCTTTTAATTAAAAGAAAAAATTCCTAAGAACCATCATATAGGCTAACAATTCTAACAATGTTCGTTATGATCTGCATGATTTGTAGAGTATGCATCATTTGGTGATGTGTTTTATTAGGTGAAAGACTTACTTTGAGGTAAGTTTTATGTTTTGTTATAAGGAGAATATAGATGAGCATATCACTTGTAGAGTTAAAATTTGGTGATTAAAATTAGGTGCATTTACGTACTACACAATTCTTATTTATTTACATATTTATCACCTAAACATTCATATTTACATGCATACCACTTTGGGTGTTGATATGTAAATATATAAAAATTGTGTAGTATGTATGTAAATTTCCCTTAAAATTGTCAACTGGCTAGGCAGCGGGCCACATTCTATATTGATTCCACTGCTGACCAAGATAGAAAGTCATTGACAGCCAAATTAGCATCAGACTAATCTTAATCTTTATAAATTTAAAAATTTGGGAGAATAAAGAATGAATTGAAAATTAGAGAAGGCCAAATATTGGAATATGAATTCATGCAATAAAAAACAAAAGATATACTAGTAGGGTGAGATAGATGATCATCAAGAAACATATTTTGATCAAAGATAAGCATCTTTTCGTCCTTTTTTGCAAAATAGATTAAAACTCCGCATACTTCACCCTGCAGGTGTTCGATCTATGCATTTATGAAAGAAAGTCCATATCACAGAATTATTTTATGTTGCCTTTTATATACTTGAAGGCTAATTAATGATCTTGATGTTTAAATTAATTATCAATTGCAGGTACTTGAAGGCAGAAATATTGGCTTAGGAAAAAAAGGAAGCCGCCAACGTTCGAATGACACATTGGAGTTGTTTTGGTGGCTTTAGGAGGGAGGAATTCCTCAAATATAGGCATCTGGTATTTTGATAAAAAAGTTGACTTCAATTTGAGTTAATTCTCGGTGAAAAATAATTTGTGTAATTTATGAAATGTTTGCAGATGCTATTTTCTGTTTGTGTTATTTATTTATTCCCAAGACAAACCAGTTTTGTGTTTTTGTTCTTTTGATAAATCATAAGAGTTCTGCTTTCACTCCAGGTTTCGGAGTTCTAAGTTCAAGAACAACTACATGATTGATATGGTATCGTCCAGGAAGAACTTACCTTGGTGATACAAGTTTATTTTGGGTCATTTACATACATAACATCCAATTCTTATCTATTTACATATCTATCACCGAAATTCTACTCTTTACATTTATATCATCCAAATCTTTCTTATCACTTAAAAAATCACTGTTTTAACTTCTAAAGGCGGCATGTGTAAAATTGAAGTTCATGTTTTGAGGCTTGTAAATTCATCAGATTTGAGTGGTATGCATGTATTTAAATCTTTCTTTTGGTTTTATGCCATCGGTTCACATTTTTGCCATTTGATTGGTTCTGTTTTTCGTACTAATTTAGATTTTCTTGGCCGTAGGATTAACCTATTTTAATACCCCCCCCCCCCCCCCCCCCCCTCAAGTAAGGAAAACTATTGTATATCCTTTATAAATAAGAGAATTTTTTTTTATGAGGAATGACTAATCAATAATTCAGATTATTGTTCGCATTTCACGCTTAGTGTTCCTCTTTTTATTTTACGTTCTATTCTTTAGGTGTGCTTCACGAACAAAAATATATGTGGTCTTATGATTTTGAGCCCAGCAAAAGCAACTGTAATTTGCGCCATTAACATTCTAATACACTGCTTTTGTAAATCTGTTAAATCTTTGATCTCTCAAATGTTCTAAAATTATTTCGTGAATGCATGCAAATATTTACTAATCGTCTCACATTCAGAGAACTGTTGTATATTACTTCTTATTGTTATTGCTTTTATTACGCGTCCCTTCCCACGCTATAATTCTTCTCTAAATTAATTTGTAATTTAGACCTAAAAATCTCGCTGATGGAGTCTACTTATTTATTTGTATGTAGGTAAAGAAATATATTTTGAAAAATAATATTTTTTTTTATCGAATCAAATAATTATTATATTTAAAAAGGTTTAGAGGGTTTTATGAAATTTAAGGTTAATGTTTATTTCAATCACATCTAACTGACGAGTGTAGCTAATTTCATAATTTAATGATGTGCTCTATAGGTTCAAGCAATCGAATGTGAGATAAATCCAATCAAAACATATTTAATCATTGCTTAATCTTATATTTTTATTTGTAAAATAAATAAAAAAAACTTAATATTAGCTTTTAAAAACAAAAGTATAACATTTAAAAGAAATAAAAAAAAATAAATGAAAGTTTAAATGAAAATCCAATCAAACGATGGATTTAGAAATCTCATTGTTTATTTATTATTTATTATTTGTTATTTATTATTTATTTGGGGGCATTGACGTACATTTTATCTAATTTTTGGTCATTTACATGTCGAACATCTAACCTTTAAGTTTTGCGTTCATACCACGCACAAAATGTTATTTTTTTACAAAATCGAACACTCAATTAATATTTTTTAACTACCAAATTAAATGCATTTATATGTGTTACGATCAAACTGTTAAAAGTTTGATAAAAAATGAAAAATATTACTCGTGATATTATATCATGAATTTGCGATATTTAAGTGAGAATTTGAAAAAAAAGTGTTAGATTTGGAAATAATAATGTTTCTGGTGATTTGTATGTAATTGCTCTTTTTAACTTATACAGTGAAACATGCATTCATAAGCAAGATGACATGTATGTAAACAATTGAAGTGTAGTGGTTGGATATGCAAATACATAAGAGTTAAGGGGCATGCATGTAATTTTTTTTATTTCTTTTTTGACGCTCAACAATTGAATCACCAAGTTGCTCTAACCGCGAGCGACTGATTTTGGAGCCAACAGAAAAATATTACCTCAGGACTCCTGATATAGAGCTACGTTCGGATTGGAATATTCAGCTGTGTTACCAGAATATTTTATCTGCGTTATTTGTAAAAATGATGTGTTATTCGAGTATTATATGGTGTTATTCAATTAATTTACTGTATTATTAGAATATTTTTAGAGCTAAAGTGTTATTGAAATATATTTAGGTCTGTGTTATTCCAATAACATAATGAAAATTGAAATAACAAGAGAAATATGCTCAATAATATAGCCCCAAATCAAATAATGCAGGAGAATATTCCAATAATACCTTAAAATAATCGAATAACATCATATAATGTTTGAATAACACAACATTTTAACAAATAAAATAGATAAAATATTCCCCTAACAAACCGAATTCAAACAGAACTTTAGCTGAGTGCTGATGTAATATTTTTTCTCACCTTTTCTTAGGTGGTAAGAAGTCGAGCCTGCAACTGCTTCTCCCGGCGGAAAACTAAGATTTGCTAGCCCTTTTTCATCGGCTTCTCTTCCAACGAATATCTTTTTCCCCTCTTTGCATTTATAATGGTATGCAGCTGTTTCGATTCGAATTGATATAGCGATCAGCCATTGACGAAATTTACTTATTCTTCTCTTTCTTTGGGTTTGATTTGATGCAAGATCCGGTTTATTCTGCTCCAGAACAGGCAGGGCAAGACCCGGCTGGCTAAGTACTATGTCCCCCTCGAAGAATCGGAGAAGCATAAGGTCGAGTATGAGGTAATCGTCTCCCATTTATGTGTACCTTAATTTGTTTGATTTGTGGAAATACGGAATTCCTTCTTCTATGTCTCTCTTGCGGTCTCTCTAAGGGACGGACAACTCGGTTTGAGATTGTTATGCGGTGTGATTTCCATTTTTCAGGTTCATCGCTTGGTGGTAAACAGGGATCCCAAGTTCACCAATTTTGTGGAGGTCAGCGTTGTACTTTCTTTTTTGTTGATGAGTCTGGAATATATTCTCTCGTATTCTTGTTTTTCGGGGATCTGATATTTGCAAGATTTGGGGAAGAATGTTCAGCGTCTGCCTAATTTGGATTTTTTGACAGATTAGTGTCCTTGTAGAAGCAGTGCTGGGAAATGTATTTTTCCTTAGCACGGGTACTGCTTATGAAATCCAGCCAAACATAACAAACATGCAAGTTCCGTGTGGATGTATGAAATTCTCGGTTTAAGGTTCAATTTTGTCTTCGATTCTTCTTAAGTCCGGCTTTAATAAATCTAGCTTGGAGATAATTTCAATAAATTCGGATTTACTAAATCCTACTAACTAACGCTAAATTCTGCCTGTGGCCAACACCCCCTAAAGTAGCGGAAAGCCAGAATGACGGCTAAAATTTAATTAGATATGGTACTTTGGATTAATTAAACAATGATTAAGCGTATCATTCACTATTTTAGGTGATATGAAGAATTTAGAGACTCAATAATGATGGACTACAGGCTATTAAGATATAGTTAGATAAGATGGTTTTAGATATTTTTTATTTATTACACAAAAGAGCTGGGTTGTAGATTAGGGCATATGGAGTAAGGGTTGGTACTTAAATGGGAGATCTGTCTATAAGATATATATTTTGAGAGTATGTTATAGAAATTTAATTAGATTTTAATAAATGAGAATGAAACTTTCTAAGGTGATGCATGGATATGATTGTTAGGGAATAAAGAATCTTTGGCATACAACTTAGGGCCTGTTTCTGATAGCTTTATGCATGCTTTGCTTTTCAGATCGTCACCATAGTTTTGTTTGGGGAATCACTTTCTTATTGGTTTTTATAAATTTTTGTGGTAGAAAACTGTTTTTTTCAACCTGAGCTATTCAAGCGTGGCGACTGCCACAAAGTCTTAGTCTGACTTTTTGAAAATAAAATAAAATTATAATAGCTACAGTAACTTTTTGAAAAACAGTTTTTTCTGCAACAGCTTCACAATTATTTCTTCAAACAGCTGCAGCGGCCCAAACAGACCCTTAGTTGTGGTTAAAAGTGAGCGTTGCTAAGATAAAAACTTGTTTAAAGTGTAAGGGTAGACTGCCAAATGAATTTTCTTAAATTTTAATAGAAAAATAATTGGATGCATGTACAACAAATAAATACTTGATAATTCATGTAGAAGTTGCTCTTAAGAAACTTTTTTTATATGTCATAATTAATATCAGCCATCTATCTTCTTGTATAAGGTGGCATCTAGCAATGACGTTGAACTAATGTTGATATGTAGATCAGAAGTTGTTAGTTGATCAAATAAATTACTTTCCTTAAATCTATGGAAAGAAGGCAAGAGTCTGAAATCAAATGGTAACAAATTGATTTAAAATATCTTTGAATTTCAATAAGAATTTGAAAATAAATAAACCAACAGAGACAAATTAATGTACACAAGGTTAGATTTTCATTATATCACTTTTTCACCAAAATCATATGCTGTCCAATATCAAATTATATAGAAGAAATAGACAAGGAGTAACTTACCGAAGTAAGAAAAATTAAGCTTCATGCCTGTGCAAGGAGATAAATTTATGCAGAATTAAGCAGTCTCACTTGTATTAAACTCGAAGGAATCATACTTGTAACCTGCTTTTACAAAATTTAAACTGGGAAATTATTCAAGCTCCAAAGTTATTAATTACATTCCCAGAACTCTATTTATAAACTCTCTAGCTTAGGTTAGTAAATAAGGTTGGCCAAGATCTTTGTTGTCTTAGTTTTAAGTAAAATTTTTAATTTAAATTTATGTCCCAAATCAGCCACACTTGACCTGATCAAGTCCATTGCAATCCCACATTTTTTGATCCAACTGCAAACCTAATTTCAAAATTTGCAAATCTGCTCATACGCAACTCTCACATTTCTACAACTCTATAACCCCACAAGTCTCTTCCAGGCCTCATAAAATAGTGTGAAACTTACACTCCATGCTTGCGCTAGCAAGTCCAAAGCCTTAGTAGGAGTTGCATGCCCAACATAGCTTTTTATTTTTTAAAAAATAATTCCAAAACCGCCAAACCATTACATTAATTTGATCACCCTAAAAAATCCTGATCTATCGAAAGTAAAATTTTAATCTTAAACCCAACAGTAGTTCAAAACAACCATCAATCCCTTAATATTCCATATAATATGAAGGTATAACATGATCCACCATAACCTCCTTTTGTGATAATTAACCAAAACTAAATAAGTATTGAAATTTTTCCAAAAGTTATTAATTAACCTAAAGCTAGAAATTAAAATAAAACTTTTCTTGGTCGATTTAACCATGTTTTAAAGACTAAACCGGACCGACCGATACGATTGTGAACCAATCATAGGCTTGATTCTGGTTCATATAAAAATTATATCCTGCATCAGACAAATTTGAAAGAATCGTTCGATTTGAAGGAGCCAACCAATTTGTTCAGTTTTGTAAAACAACACTTGGTTCATCTCTTGAGCTTTTAATGAATATGAATCAATTATCTAATTAGTTGTAAACAAGCTTGTTAAGTTTAAAATATAGTCTTTTGGTTTTTGAAAGTTTTGAAAATTCTTTTATATGATATAAACTCAAATCAACATACAAATTAAGACCAATATACGCCCACTAATTAAGTGTGCTACAAGCTCTTATTCTTTTCAAGTTTAAAATTTGCAATATTTACCAGTTATGAGACTATGTGAGTTGTGTGAATGATGATAGTCATGAATAATTAGGCGGTAGTTTGAAAACTGAGTTGATCCATGGTACATAAATCGGGCTGACCTGTGAGAATTGGGCTCTAATAATTGATAAAATATATCATGAACTTATTTATATTTATATTTTTTTATTCTAAATTTTTTTAATTTCAAATAAATTTATTATACATAATTTATAGATATTATGTTATTTTAGGTCATATTTAAATAATTTTTAATTTATTCTGTTAATTGTTTCAATTCCCAATTCAACCTCAATTCAACTTTTGAATCTTCAACTTTTCTTTTTTTTTTCAGTTCATTGTTCAGTTTAGTTTTTAAAACCTTGAATGTACCCTTCTTGGTCATCATCAACATACTTATAAAATACAAATTACAAATAAAATGAATCGATTAATGAAACTAGTTTAATCAATGAAAAAATATAGTAACAAAATAGAAATCAATGTTTGATGTGATGTTTCCAACAAGAAGTAACATGGAGATTTTTTTTTACATATGCATGGTTCGGACAAGCATGCGTCTAAATTTAGCATATGTTCTTTATAAAGCAAAACTTTGCATATATTATACATCACAGGCAAGTATGCCTCACCAATAATAATGTCTCTGAAATTTACCATTAATAGCTGACACAATATCATCATTTAAAATAACTTCAAGAATAAGAAGATTGGATGCAAACTCATATAAAAGAGGTGGAAAGAGAGTATAATCCATGATATTGGAGTCAGTGAAATAAAGTTAAATAAAAAACATTGAAAGTAGATTTAGAACAAAGGTTTCAAATGTTTAAATTTTTTGCAGGTATTAGTTCTAATGAAGTTCTATATTTTATATTTTCTTCATCTTTCTTGCATTCAATTTCTCAAAGCCTTTATGCATTATGACTTAATCATCATGTTTAAATTCCACATACCTCCCATTCATATTGAGAGAAAGCTTGGAATTATCATAATTATTAGCTAGTTTCTTACAAGTATTCTCATGCAAGTCACGCATATGCTGTGCAAATGTTTGTGCAAATGTGCTTGAATAAATTCTAGAGGAGGGTCAATAATATTGATTAGCTTCGTAGGCTGACACCTTGTAACAATCTCATATAAATTTATGCCAATAGAGATTATTGACAAATGACTTATATTGAAGCTCAGTCATATTTCATAAAATTGATTAGCTTTAATATATAGAAAAAAAACCCAAGTAGCACTAGGGTTTTTATCTGGAAAACTGTAATAGAGAAAAATACTCAGTCCATACCCAGATTTAAATGATCAGCCAAGTAAATAGAGATTATAATAGTATGCCATGCTCTTCAATTGAAGAGGATAAGATGACGAAGTAAAGAATAATTTTGAAACCACCATCACACGTGATGTGGGAACATTTTTATTAACATTTCAATAGAAAGTAGAATTAATTAGTTTGGTGATGCTCTTTTAACTACAGGAAATTAAGCCTTACCTTAGATGGTGTATACTTTGTGGTTCATTGGTGGAAGTTTTAAAGGAGTTACTTTACTGGGAATAACTAAAATAGAGATTTTGTTAAACTTTTTCATTTATTTATAAGCTTTCTTGTTTAAGCACTCCCCTCGGGAAAATCCTTTTGTTGCTTGTGTGTTAGTTCAATGTAATTAGGTTTACCTAATATTTTTCTCTAGTAAATGCTAAGCTATGAAAAATTTTGCAACGAATTTGAGTTTATTGTGATTTCTGAATGTTATTATACTCTTGAACTTCATTTTCTTTTCTTTTATTGCAGTTCCGCACGCACAAAGTTATATACAGAAGATATGCTGGGCTTTTCTTTTCAATGTGTGTTGATATAACCGATAATGAATTAGCATACTTGGAATGCATCCATTTATTTGTGGAGATATTGGATCATTTCTTCAGCAACGTATGTGAGCTGGACTTGGTATTTAATTTTAACAAGGTTTGTGGTCTTAATGTTTTGATCTATCATAATCATGTCATTTTTATGGATAATTGAGGGAACACTCACCCTTAGCACTGAAACTTTTTGAGAATTTTTTTCAATTGCATTCGTTGCTTTCTTATAAAAGATTCTATAAGCTTATTGGTCAAGTATTATTTTAAAGTGCGGGTTGTAGTATTATTTCCCTGGTACTCACTTTGTATTTTTTAATATGTTTGTGGATGAGCTTTCTAGGGTGTGTTATAAAAATGATAATGTTTTCTTATTTTCTTTGGTATGCTTGTTAATTCGAGCTTATTAGAAAGATAGTGATCTGACATTTTCATTAACGATCACTATACTTCAATGTTGATCAAGGTTTATCTGATATTGGATGAGTTTATTCTTGCTGGGGAGCTACAAGAAACAAGCAAGAAGGTTAGTTTTCTTTTGATTTACTTATTTCTATCCTTTTTTTGATACATAATGTTCACACATTTATTTAGCAATTGGTTTCATTAAATCTGCATTTGCATAAAGGTTTCTTTTCAAATTCACAGGGCATTCTTTAGTCTGTTCGAATTATTGCAGGCATATGTTTGGTAAATATATTCATGAATTATGGGAAAAGATCATCTTACTTTTTCATATTAATGAATGCCTGTGGATGTGTTTAGTTATGGAATGTAAATAGGGTTGACCCCAACTTTTAACAATGTACCGTGAAGCTGTTGCCTATTTGGCATCATATTTGTTTCTTATTTTTGTTTTTATTTTTATTTTTTTATTTTTAAAAATATGTTTGATTGGTATAATTTTGAGATGCTTTTATTATTGTTTTTTTTAAAACAAATCAATTTATTTATAAAAAACATTTAAAATTCTTAAAAAGATGTTTTGAATGTTTTTAAAAAGAACAAGCTCATTCAAACATGTTTTAGTTTAAATCAAAATATAAACAAAATAAATTACAAAAAAAAGTGATCCCGAACGGCCCTTAAAGCTGGCATGTTTTGTTTCCTTAAATTTTGAGATATGGAGTGCCAAGATGTTCTAAGAATTAGTGAAATGATTTAGAGTGCCAAGATGTTCTAAGAATTAGTGAAATGATTTAGGGCATGTGTCAAACACTATCATCAAAGATATAGCTAGGCTAAAATCCTTTTAAAATTTTTGGGAATTTACTTACCCTTCAAGTCAAATTATTTCCTTCTCTTTTATTCTCTCTCGAATTATTCTTTCTTTCTGAACTAATTTGGAAAAGATATTCAGTAAATAGGTGAAATGAAGAATTACTTGTTTTATGTCTTACCATGAAGTTACATGAAACCTTGATTCTATCATTTTTAGGTTTTAGTCTCTCTTAATTTAGTTGTATTAAAATTGATCTTAATTTACTAGAACTAAATAAATATGCGAAAATATGCCACTAAATAGGACGCAATGGAGAAAAACGATTCATGTAGCCGACCCCACGTATTTAGATTAAGGCTTTATTGTGTTGTTGTTGTTGTAGTCTCTCTTAATTTAGTCTTTATCCAGTTGTTTCTTTCAATGAATTCAGTATCTCTCATTCTCACATTTTAGATCAACAAAGGAGGTAGGAGGCGGGGAGGTGGGATGGTGTTGGGGTTGGAGAGTAAGTTGATTGATTAATATCATTTTTTTTTTGACGAGGAAGTGCACCAGAAAGTAGATATCTCTTCTTTAAAGCATCCCGTACGGTAGGGAGAAATTGTTATGAGGATTGTTGTTGGCTGAGAGATAAATTATTGGTATATTTTTCTCCTTTTTTGAGCTGATCTCATCGTAATGCATGGAATGATAGTTGACTAAAGGTGAGATGGAATTGTGGATTCAATTATTAGTTATTGGTGTTTCTTTATGAATTAATGCTTAGGTTCTTGAGTTTTTTATGTAATTAAAGAATGCAAGATAAAATTAAGCAAATCAAATATAGAAGTCATAGATCCAAAGACAAATTAAACAAATGTTTGTCTTCTTTTGATGCAAACTAGAAAATATCATAAAGTCATGCCAAACATTAATTTAATGATTGATTAAATTATGAGATTCAATGATAAAATTACTTAATCACTTACGTATTTGTGTTTATTTTCTTAATTATTTATTTTAAGCTAAAATGAGTTGAGCATGTTCAAATAAGAAATTTATTTGTGCTTGGCTCGTTTAATATTGAGCTCAAAATATATATTTGTGTTTGTTTTGCGTACTTAACAAACAATTCCAACATAAACTGATCATCAAGCCGAACACGAGTTATTTGCAAATGACGAGTTTTTTTTTGAAAACTCTAATCCTTGAACTGTAAATCTTTGGATGATCCAAGAGCCCTCGTATTTTTTGAACTCACTTTTAATGCAATTCCTTGTATTAAATGTAGGTTTGGCTGCAGCTCTTGGAAGATCCAAGGGCTACAAACGATGGAAGATCTAAGGGCTGCAGCCAACGACTTGTGCAATCACTTGTGCTCATCGGTTACTCCCTCAATTTTATTATTATTGTAATTGTAAACTGTTTCATCGATTGTTTAATAGTTTAATGTTTTAGTGATTAGGATCAAATATATGTCTGAATTTCCTTAATCCTCATGTTATTGACACCTTTATTTTATCCTCTTTGTAATAATACCATTAGAAAAGGCAGGAAATAAATTTTCATATTTATTTAAGCTATAATGAGTTAAGATGATACGAATCGGTAGGCAATCTCTCTCAAATTTTAGCCCTAAGACTCCAGACAACAATCTCATTCATAACCCTAATCCTAAACATATTAGTCTTATTTATACTACTACTACTACTAATAATAAGAATAAAAAAAAAATAAAAAAAATAAATAATAGACTAAATTGCCCTTAGGCTAATAAAAGAAAAAATTGTCCTCAAGCACCGGCGTAACAACAATCCCTTCCTAAAGAAGCACCTTGTCCTCAAGGTGGATAAAAGAAAACTGTTGTTGGGTCAAACTGCTCTGCCTCCTCTTCACACATTGTGAAAACATGTAATGCCCCAATTTTTGCAACGGTATTCTTGGGTAAATTTTTCATCACACTGATAACATAACCATTTTGCTTGGTTCTTTTGAATCTCTAACTTTGTAAAGCATTTGTTGCTCTCAATTGCGACTCATTATTCATTTCCCGGGGAGCCTCCCTCTGAACTTAGACTGTTTGAGTTTTTGGTATCATTATGCTTATAGCAGTTCAATATAACACCCCCTGTGTGTACACCCCCTGTGTGTTGCCTCTATTAGCCCGTTTCATTACATTTCTATCTTCAACCAACTGTGCCAATTCTATAAATTTTTCCAAGCCCACGATCTCAACAGACGAAGTGCTACTTGTATGTGAGGCTTTAAATCCTTCATGAAATTTCCCTCCAATATTGCTTCAAACATCCCTCTCAGTCGTCCTATATTCCACGACAGTACCCTTTTGAGTAAGACATAATTGCTCGTGTAGATCTCCTTTCTGAATGACTCAGAAAAGCTTTAACAAATAATCCTTAAATTCCTCTCATGAGCAGATTGAGTATATACTCTCCCTCCACTGGAACCATGTTAGTTTTTTCCTCCAAACATGACACTTCCGTCATGAGTTTCTCCTTCCCATTTAACCCATTCACTACGAAATATTGTTATACCCAGTACACCCACCCATGTGTGTCTTCCACCCTTGAAGATCGACATCTTCAACTCCTATCCCTAATATTTCTACCCGAACTTTCTCTCCCTCTGGTATTTCCCTCCATGTATCTAGGGTAAAACTCTCCCGTGATCGTAGTTATATCCTATCCTGGTTTCACTTATTTCTTCTTTGTGCTCCTTCATACCCTTTGCAGAACTCCTTCTCCATGTTCGGTCCAACCTCCTCCACCAGAAATCTCCAATCCGCCCCCCATTGGTGTCATGTTCCTTTCGTTCGATCTCTTTCCCTTTGGATTTAGCCAAGGATTCTCCGGTCAACCCTTTGTCAAGGTTTGCAAAATGAATCATCGGCAGGGTCTTAGATTGCATCTCAATAAGCTTTTTCATCATATCTTCCAAGCACTCGAATCAACCCTCAAATCGATTTTCTATGTAGTAAAATCTTTCTTCTATGGTTGAGAATCTTTTCTCCATCCTAACTTTAAGTTGTCTTCTTCTTCCAATCTTTCTTTCAAAGCATCCACTTTCCTTATTTCCATTTCTCACGGTACATTTTTGAACAAAGAACTACTGTACTTTGGAATCCTTTTAATCACTTTCGCTTCCCCGATCGTCAGAATCACGTCCTATACCAATTCTATTATATCTGTACAATGAGCTCTACCTCTTACCACTGTCCCATATGATTGGAGGGGGATGGGAAGAGTCGGAGACGGAAGAAAGTGGAGAAGTTTTGGTCTGATCGAAGAAAGGATGTACGCGATCTCGTCGTCGTCTTCACATACAGCTCTTACTGTGACTGTATCACCACTTCCCAACGAGCTCTTATTGCAACTAAATTGATATGCAATCCTTTGTTGGTTTCCAACATGCTCTTATCACGATTGTATTAGGGCGCAGTACAGGGTGAGATGACCACAACAGTGATGGAGGCGCTTGTATGCCACGATTATGTACGTGGTTCGGTTGTGAATGCGTTGCGACAAAGAAGCTTGTACACTGCGATCCCTTGTGTACACAACTATCCTTCTTTGTTTTCTAGATCGAATGCTCTGATGCCATTTGATACAAATCGACATGATTTTCCACATAGAAATCGGGGCAACAAATATTTTATTCCACGAACACCAAACAACACTATAAAAATGCATAAGGATAAAGATAAACACCTACAATTCAAGAGGCAGACGATCTCTCTCAAATCATATAATTTGAGAGTTGGAAAATTTCTCCCAAATCCTAACCCTAAGTAAGACTCAAGATGACAATCTCATGCATAACCTTAACCCTAAACATATTAGCCATATTTATAATAATAATAATAATAATAATAATAATAATAATAATAGACAAAATTACCCTGAGACTAATAAAAGATAAAATTGCAAAATTATCCGCTCACATAATCTTATTTATATGTTAATGAAGTTATTTGAAATGTGCGTGCAAATTTATTGTTTAGAATGCATATATAAAATTGTATATAGTTTTTTTAGCTGAAAAATACGAAAGTATTTGTATGAGATTGAATTGTTATTTGGATGACAATGTTTTAGTAAAGCTAACTAGATAACAAAATAAGAAAAAAAATATTAAGATATTGAAGGAAATTGAGATTTTATTTAGTGCCATCTGAGAATTTTTGCGTACATTATCTTTTTAATATTATGTATTTGATCTTGTGATTCATATATCTAATGAAACGAACAATGAATGATTACGCGTAGGAAATGACTCCACCTAATTAGATGGAGATATATGAGTTTGATTATATCCATTTGATAGATAAAGCCGTTTATTATTGCTCATATCTCAATGCCTTATAAATTTTGAATGACTATATTCAAAATATTCTAACTACTATTTTAATAATATCAATGACTTTTTACTACTTCAAATCTTGTTCATTTAAAAATGATGATGAATGGTAAAAGATGTATGAGAGTAAGTGGTGCTATCATTCTAAATTCATTTATACTCCTTAGCTCCTATATAGATAGATAGATAAGCTATCATCTTTTTAGTGGGATGAGACTCACTATCATCACCTATTCCACCATTCATTTAATATTTGATTGGCTAGGATTTAGGTTGTGTTTGGTGCAACGGTTTGGGTGCAGCACGGTGTTGCGCAACTTTATTATGCCGTTTGGCGCGGCAGTCGCTCTACGGTGGGACGCGATTTGTCCCGAAAGCGGAACGCTAATGGTAACCTGCGGCCTGGCTTCCTCGTTCGAGTTTTTACCGCAATACCCTACCCGAAACATTTCGCTCGTGAAAGAGGTGAAAACCTGCGTTCGAAAATCTCCTCTCCTCCACTTCTCCAACGGCTTCCTCCTCCTCTCCGACTTATCTCACACTACCCATCCTCTTCCTCGTCTTCTCACAAGTTCCCTAC